GGTTATTGTCCGCTCACTAGACATTCCACTACGTATTACTAACACTACTTATATCCAGACATAAGATAATTAGAAACAAAATAAATATGGAAAGGGCTAAACAAGTTGTTCAGAGGGAAGAGAAGGAAAAAGTAGTATCCGTTAAAGGGGACCGGCCAAATAAATAGGGGGGATAAGGGTGAAAATAGTCCATTATAGAATCAGAAAGTTCAAATTAAAGGGAAAACTCAATAAAGTTGTTCATTTCCTTTGCTTGTTTAATATAATTATACAGGTTATAAAGGAATAATAGAACTCTAAAGAAAAGAGAAAACTTACTTTTCCAGTGTGTTGAGTATGTTCATGGGCTGCCATTTGCCAATACATATTTGTACGCCTGTAGAAATCCCTCAGGGATTCTCCTGGCTGTACATGCAAAAAGAAATCAATTAAGAAAGATGGGCGAAGAAGAAAAATACTAATTGAAAGCCCAGAGATGATTACAAAGGCACAAACAAAACCACATATATAATACAATCAAAGCCCAGTATATTGAGTATACACTAGTTTCAATGTTTTAACCAACAGTCTCAAAGGTCTTTAAAAACTAACAATGCATTACCATTGGTGTTCTCTGTGAATCGGACAAGCCAAGACTGGCTCTAATCTGCTCTATCCGTGACCTCCTTTCTTTCCTCCGCAGATTCTTTCCAACACCTTTGATTAGAGCAACAGCATCTCCCACCTCAACTGATGCATTCTGAGCCTGGTAGTGATCAAAAGGTAAAGCCAACTTAATGATGTAGGAAACCTTGTTTGGAGAAAAATAAACTCCGGTCATGAAAAGTTTATCTCACGTGTTTGAATATTATTATCTGTATTGAATAGCAATTCTTGTTTTAAGGAAAATACCTTAGAAATGATTAATATCTATCACGAATTACAATTTTTTAGCAAAAGCAAATCTGGTTTCACAAGGAACTGGTTCAACGAGTTTATTTTTTTGACCATCAAAATATCATTCACTGCAAGCTGTTAAAGATACAGAACCACGTAGCAAAAAACATCTAAGAGAGAACCACTTTTGTTAACATTCAAATCTTAACAAGAAAAATAGGAGTAAATGCTTCAAAATATGCAGCAAAAGAGAGAAAGAAATCAACAGCTCACTACCCAATAGAAATAATGAAAAAAAAGTATAGAGGCAGAATTCCAAAACAATAGTTCTGTTGTTTTCTTCCCTTTTTCTGTTGTTAGATTTAATAAATTAATTCCCCTTATTGTGTTCACAGATGTCCCCTTTAATAGAAAACCTAAATTCCTTTTTAATTTATAAAATTATTACAACTAACTCAAAATGCTATCACCCTTACATATTCATCAACAAATGATGTTCGCTCGTGGATGGTGTGGTCAAAAGCCAGTTCTATCCTTTTTCAACCTTATGTATTGAGAAAAGGGGGAAAACCCTTCATTTGGTGAAGTTGCAAGGAAGATTCAATTTGGTGCCCAGCCATTCAAACCTCAAATTCAGCTTTACACCAAATAAATAATTTCCACCCTTTTATGTAATCCAAACATAATGAACAAATAAGGGAATGCCGTTTGACCATAACATACCCGAGGCAACAAGGCCTAGCACTATTTTGGGGCTGATCGCAGCCTAGTTTATTTTTCTAAAAACAAGGGTTTTGACTAGGTTTCCAATATGTGAATAAAACAAAGGAGAAGAAGAAAAAACTCATTCATTTTTTTCTTGCTTGAATTAAAGTTAGAATGTGCACCTCTTCCTCCTCCTCTTCCTCATCATCATCCTCATTAGTTGAAGTCTCACCATCGGACTCATCTTCATCACCATCTTCATCTTCTTCATCATCTTCTGAAGCTTCCACCCATTCAGATTCTGAAGCCTGGGTTGATGAAACTTCAAGTCAGATTAAAGCAAATAAAACAAATATGTGTATTTAATCAGCAAATTAGAATCACAATATATACTTAGATTAAATAAGCTGAATCAACAAAAACTATATTAACAGCATCAGCTATTCACCATAACTCATTGACATCAGAAGATAAATCACCCAGTTCACCACATTATAATTTGTAATTAAATTCTGAGGTATATTCCCAAATTATTTTAGGAGAAAAACAAGAAAGGCATCTCTTCCTTCAGTGGTTAAATCTAATTTTTGGGACGAGACAAAGTATCAATAAAAAATTAAGATCATAAGATATAACTTTGTCAAAAATCGTTGTAATTTGATAGATCTAATCATCAGCACATATTTATTTGTGACCTTTTTAATAATACTAGGTGTTGTGGGAGTAATGAGGAGTCCGGGACCTTTGGAACTGGGTAGGTACAGACATTCACCAATTTTATACTAGCAGACTTGTATCAAGCAACAACTCAGATTATTTCTTGCTTAACCATTTATTATCAGAGAAAAAGACAGACAGAGCTCCTAAAACAGAAGAATATGATATTTAGTTAAGAACAGAAAATGTATAATTATGTAAGAGAATTGGGTACATTTGATTTCCTACAGGTATAATATAATATAATTACTTTGAATATATAGTATAACATGCTATAGCGGCCCATGGCCACTATTTGCACTGCCATAGTGTTGCACTTTTCTGTAGCAGCGTCAGTGGCCACAATAAGGGCATTCGCTGTACCACTGCACCACTATACTGAAGGTGTCCAATATCCTGAGAATGAACTCCAAGATTAATGTTAGAGGGGCATCTTATGAAAGGTCAATTTATAAAAAAAAAGGGTTTCCGCTAGATGAAAACCCTTTCAAAGTTCATGATTATCATGCCACATTTATCTCCTCTCCAACCCTGTGACCCCTCCATGACCCTTGTCATTATGTGACAATCTCTCCAGCAACTAGTCTAACAGTTTTTTGTACTTTTCCTTTTCTCTCTTCCTTTAGATTTTTCTTGCAATATTGTGCTCATATTCTCAATCATCTGTTTTATGTAAAACCATTTTTTTTGTATTTGTGTCTAATGGGATTATTTTTCTATTTTCATCTCTTTGCTCCATCTGTCTACATTCTCTGTTAATTGTCACTCTGGTCTAAGTCTCTGATGTATTTAAGTCATCTATCTCCTAAAAATCCAAACACATTAATTCCTTATGTCTCTATCTCTTTAGTAAGACATTGTTAGGATATAGTGTGGTAGGGTATAATGGGTAATGGGTTTAGGATAGAAGGTGGAGGAATTGTATAAATAGTACCCTGTTATGTTGTGAGAGGGGCTTTTTGGAATATTCTTTTGTGAAATCTGGACTTTGGCCAAAAGAGGGGGATTAGGCCTCTGCTAGGGCTAAGAGGGGAATTAGGCCTCCATTAGCGCTATATATGTACCTTCTTTCAGTATCAATACAGAAACCATTGTTTTACAGTGTTATTTCTTGTTTGTTAGTGCGAGAGTGTTTGTTCTAGCTAGGTTTCAAACCCAAGTACCTAAAAGACATGGTATTCTTCATTACTATTTAATCAAATGTTTGGCTAAGAGCTAAGACCTATAGTTTTTTATTATAAATCATGAACATGTCAAGTATTTTTAACTTTTTTTAGTATTTACATGCATTTAGTATAATTATGTAAACTGTAAGCATATTTGAAAATAGTGGTATCCAAAATTTATAACTACCGTATAGAACATATGCATATATTGGAAAAAAGTAGGTAAGAAAAAACTAACAGACCGGTATAATGCACTTCCATTCATCAAGTTTGCTAAGGTTCAAAGAATACAGATCGTCAAGAGTGATTTCTTGATCTTTAATCTCCATCATTCCACCATATATATATAACGTGTCCCTTCCAACTGCCATGCAAGCATTAATACGACCACATGGCTTCACTACCTAAAGAATTTGGAGGAAAAAAGCAATTAATCAATGACCAGGTAAAATTGGTACTTATAAGATAGATCGTCCAAAATAATGACCTCAGGCAAAGAACTTTGAATGTCCAATTTAGCACCAGATTCCTTGGGCTTTCCATCAGAGTTGGTAAGATTTTCACTATCAACAATAGACATGTTTGATGCTATATTTTTGGATATATCATCAATGTTACTTTCTTCATCCTCTGACTCCACAGTTTCTTCTCTTGTTGTACATGCTGGATTTATCTTCTTGTTGACATCATCAGGACAATTTTGTTCAGATTTTTTTAACTGGAAAAAGAATTCAATTTAATTGAGAAACAAAGTAACATGCAAAGCAGTCCACAAGATGAGTTTTAAAATGTGGAGCAATTGTCTTGAGATCAGATGTATATATGCATGACATCCAATCTACCTTATCTTTTGTGGACTTCTCCTTTCTTAACTCCAGAGGATACCTAATTACCCAAACAAGATTAAATAAGCTAATCAGGAAACATTAGATAAGATAGCAGTAGCACACCTATGCTCTAACCAGAAAATCATCAATATACAGAGTAAAATACAAACTTACAATGACTTAAACTCAAGACCCAACGAAAGAATTCAGTTCACAAATGGCAACTTTAGACTATACCATGCTAGGCACCAACAGAATATGGGAGGACTTACCAGCGATTGGTGTCTAACTGAAACCCGTAAAATTCATTCAAAAACAAGCTCATCATTACATCACCTGCACAGTGTTAATGCAATTAGGATACTAAGCTTACAGCAAGCGTAAACAACAAAATATATATCCTCTAAATGGACTTTGAGTAGACTGTCTGATCTAATGAATTGTTTACAAACATTAGGCCAAAGAGATTACTTCTACATCACTTGCTTGAAAAATATAAGCTGTCAGAAAAGATAACCTTCAACTTCTATATCCACAACGCCACCAAATAGCAGAGCCCTCCTCTTATGAACACACATTGAAAACCCAGCACGGGGACCAGGAGGCATTCCACTTTTCTTCACCTATCAAGAAGGGAGAAAAGATGAAAAAAAAGTTACAAAAAATCAGATAATAAAAGCTTTGTCCTAAGCGTCAGGGGTGTATGAGCCTATGGAGGGAGGAGGTAGAAGCAAATGAGAGACAAATATTACAAAATAAAATTGAAGCATAAAATAAGAAGTCTGTGCTTCCATCGAAGCTGACTAAAGTAATTTTAATTAGTGGGCATGGGAAAGAAAGATACAAGAAAGCTCAAACTTGGCTAAGAAAAGGAATATACAAATTTACTCAATATTAAACTTAACCCCAAAGGACTACCTTGTTCCATTCCCAAGTCTTAGGATCGAGTGACCACATATCTGAATGAACAATTCCTTTCTCAGAGTTGTTCTTATCAGATGAAACTTCTTTTGAATAGCCACCATACAAAAATATCTGCAACAAGAAAAAGAACTCTGAAAAGAAGAAAACATTCTAAACTTCAAAACTACTTTCTAGAGCCACACAAATCAATCACAATTATGAAACAGCACATGAGGGAAAACTTTACTATAGTGATAGGCATAATGATAGATACCCATTAGTTAGTTCTTTACAATATATAGTTAGATAGCCAGTTAAAGAAACAAGGCAAGCTGCCTATAAATAAGAGAGGTGGAGAGAGAGATCTCTTGCCAACATTAAGAGAATTGAAGCCTTTGGGCAATGGGAGGTGCAGACCCTTGAAGATCTTCAGAGCAGGGATTTCTGGTGAACGTAGAGTTGCATAAGGAGCGAATCCAGGTCTCTCAAATTAAAATATATGGAGCAGTGTATTGTTTTCTAGGGAGATTTTCCCTATTTTNGTATAGAGGCAGAATTCCAAAACAATAGTTCTGTTGTTTTCTTCCCTTTTTCTGTTGTTAGATTTAATAAATTAATTCCCCTTATTGTGTTCACAGATGTCCCCTTTAATAGAAAACCTAAATTCCTTTTTAATTTATAAAATTATTACAACTAACTCAAAATGCTATCACCCTTACATATTCATCAACAAATGATGTTCGCTCGTGGATGGTGTGGTCAAAAGCCAGTTCTATCCTTTTTCAACCTTATGTATTGAGAAAAGGGGGAAAACCCTTCATTTGGTGAAGTTGCAAGGAAGATTCAATTTGGTGCCCAGCCATTCAAACCTCAAATTCAGCTTTACACCATATAAATAATTTCCACCCTTTTATGTAATCCAAACATAATGAACAAATAAGGGAATGCCGTTTGACCATAACATACCCGAGGCAACAAGGCCTAGCACTATTTTGGGGCTGATCGCAGCCTAGTTTATTTTTCTAAAAACAAGGGTTTTGACTAGGTTTCCAATATGTGAATAAAACAAAGGAGAAGAAGAAAAAACTCATTCATTTTTTTCTTGCTTGAATTAAAGTTAGAATGTGCACCTCTTCCTCCTCCTCTTCCTCATCATCATCCTCATTAGTTGAAGTCTCACCATCGGACTCATCTTCATCACCATCTTCATCTTCTTCATCATCTTCTGAAGCTTCCACCCATTCAGATTCTGAAGCCTGGGTTGATGAAACTTCAAGTCAGATTAAAGCAAATAAAACAAATATGTGTATTTAATCAGCAAATTAGAATCACAATATATACTTAGATTAAATAAGCTGAATCAACAAAAACTATATTAACAGCATCAGCTATTCACCATAACTCATTGACATCAGAAGATAAATCACCCAGTTCACCACATTATAATTTGTAATTAAATTCTGAGGTATATTCCCAAATTATTTTAGGAGAAAAACAAGAAAGGCATCTCTTCCTTCAGTGGTTAAATCTAATTTTTGGGACGAGACAAAGTATCAATAAAAAATTAAGATCATAAGATATAACTTTGTCAAAAATCGTTGTAATTTGATAGATCTAATCATCAGCACATATTTATTTGTGACCTTTTTAATAATACTAGGTGTTGTGGGAGTAATGAGGAGTCCGGGACCTTTGGAACTGGGTAGGTACAGACATTCACCAATTTTATACTAGCAGACTTGTATCAAGCAACAACTCAGATTATTTCTTGCTTAACCATTTATTATCAGAGAAAAAGACAGACAGAGCTCCTAAAACAGAAGAATATGATATTTAGTTAAGAACAGAAAATGTATAATTATGTAAGAGAATTGGGTACATTTGATTTCCTACAGGTATAATATAATATAATTACTTTGAATATATAGTATAACATGCTATAGCGGCCCATGGCCACTATTTGCACTGCCATAGTGTTGCACTTTTCTGTAGCAGCGTCAGTGGCCACAATAAGGGCATTCGCTGTACCACTGCACCACTATACTGAAGGTGTCCAATATCCTGAGAATGAACTCCAAGATTAATGTTAGAGGGGCATCTTATGAAAGGTCAATTTATAAAAAAAAAGGGTTTCCGCTAGATGAAAACCCTTTCAAAGTTCATGATTATCATGCCACATTTATCTCCTCTCCAACCCTGTGACCCCTCCATGACCCTTGTCATTATGTGACGATCTCTCCAGCAACTAGTCTAACAGTTTTTTGTACTTTTCCTTTTCTCTCTTCCTTTAGATTTTTCTTGCAATATTGTGCTCATATTCTCAATCATCTGTTTTATGTAAAACCATTTTTTTTGTATTTGTGTCTAATGGGATTATTTTTCTATTTTCATCTCTTTGCTCCATCTGTCTACATTCTCTGTTAATTGTCACTCTGGTCTAAGTCTCTGATGTATTTAAGTCATCTATCTCCTAAAAATCCAAACACATTAATTCCTTATGTCTCTATCTCTTTAGTAAGACATTGTTAGGATATAGTGTGGTAGGGTATAATGGGTAATGGGTTTAGGATAGAAGGTGGAGGAATTGTATAAATAGTACCCTGTTATGTTGTGAGAGGGGCTTTTTGGAATATTCTTTTGTGAAATCTGGACTTTGGCCAGAAGAGGGGGATTAGGCCTCTGCTAGGGCTAAGAGGGGAATTAGGCCTCCATTAGCGCTATCTATGTACCTTCTTTCAGTATCAATACAGAAACCATTGTTTTACAGTGTTATTTCTTGTTTGTTAGTGCGAGAGTGTTTGTTCTAGCTAGGTTTCAAACCCAAGTACCTATTAGACATGGTATTCTTCATTACTATTTACTCAAATGTTTGGCTAAGAGCTAAGACCTATAGTTTTTTATTATAAATCATGAACATGTCAAGTATTTTTAACTTTTTTTAGTATTTACATGCATTTAGTATAATTATGTAAACTGTAAGCATATTTGAAAATAGTGGTATCCAAAATTTATAACTACCGTATAGAACATATGCATATATTGGAAAAAAGTAGGTAAGAAAAAACTAACAGACCGGTATAATGCACTTCCATTCATCAAGTTTGCTAAGGTTCAAAGAATACAGATCGTCAAGAGTGATTTCTTGATCTTTAATCTCCATCATTCCACCATATATATATAACGTGTCCCTTCCAACTGCCATGCAAGCATTAATACGACCACATGGCTTCACTACCTAAAGAATTTGGAGGAAAAAAGCAATTAATCAATGACCAGGTAAAATTGGTACTTATAAGATAGATCGTCCAAAATAATGACCTCAGGCAAAGAACTTTGAATGTCCAATTTAGCACCAGATTCCTTGGGCTTTCCATCAGAGTTGGTAAGATTTTCACTATCAACAATAGACATGTTTGATGCTATATTTTTGGATATATCATCAATGTTACTTTCTTCATCCTCTGACTCCACAGTTTCTTCTCTTGTTGTACATGCTGGATTTATCTTCTTGTTGACATCATCAGGACAATTTTGTTCAGATTTTTTTAACTGGAAAAAGAATTCAATTTAATTGAGAAACAAAGTAACATGCAAAGCAGTCCACAAGATGAGTTTTAAAATGTGGAGCAATTGTCTTGAGATCAGATGTATATATGCATGACATCCAATCTACCTTATCTTTTGTGGACTTCTCCTTTCTTAACTCCAGAGGATACCTAATTACCCAAACAAGATTAAATAAGCTAATCAGGAAACATTAGATAAGATAGCAGTAGCACACCTATGCTCTAACCAGAAAATCATCAATATACAGAGTAAAATGCAAACTTACAATGACTTAAACTCAAGACCCAACGAAAGAATTCAGTTCACAAATGGCAACTTTAGACTATACCATGCTAGGCACCAACAGAATATGGGAGGACTTACCAGCGATTGGTGTCTAACTGAAACCCGTAAAATTCATTCAAAAACAAGCTCATCATTACATCACCTGCACAGTGTTAATGCAATTAGGATACTAAGCTTACAGCAAGCGTAAACAACAAAATATATATCCTCTAAATGGACTTTGAGTAGACTGTCTGATCTAATGAATTGTTTACAAACATTAGGCCAAAGAGATTACTTCTACATCACTTGCTTGAAAAATATAAGCTGTCAGAAAAGATAACCTTCAACTTCTATATCCACAACGCCACCAAATAGCAGAGCCCTCCTCTTATGAACACACATTGAAAACCCAGCACGGGGACCAGGAGGCATTCCACTTTTCTTCACCTATCAAGAAGGGAGAAAAGATGAAAAAAAAGTTACAAAAAATCAGATAATAAAAGCTTTGTCCTAAGCGTCAGGGGTGTATGAGCCTATGGAGGGAGGAGGTAGAAGCAAATGAGAGACAAATATTACAAAATAAAATTGAAGCATAAAATAAGAAGTCTGTGCTTCCATCGAAGCTGACTAAAGTAATTTTAATTAGTGGGCATGGGAAAGAAAGATACAAGAAAGCTCAAACTTGGCTAAGAAAAGGAATATACAAATTTACTCAATATTAAACTTAACCCCAAAGGACTACCTTGTTCCATTCCCAAGTCTTAGGATCGAGTGACCACATATCTGAATGAACAATTCCTTTCTCAGAGTTGTTCTTATCAGATGAAACTTCTTTTGAATAGCCACCATACAAAAATATCTGCAACAAGAAAAAGAACTCTGAAAAGAAGAAAACATTCTAAACTTCAAAACTACTTTCTAGAGCCACACAAATCAATCACAATTATGAAACAGCACATGAGGGAAAACTTTACTATAGTGATAGGCATAATGATAGATACCCATTAGTTAGTTCTTTACAATATATAGTTAGATAGCCAGTTAAAGAAACAAGGCAAGCTGCCTATAAATAAGAGAGGTGGAGAGAGAGATCTCTTGCCAACATTAAGAGAATTGAAGCCTTTGGGCAATGGGAGGTGCAGACCCTTGAAGATCTTCAGAGCAGGGATTTCTGGTGAACGTAGAGTTGCATAAGGAGCGAATCCAGGTCTCTCAAATTAAAATATATGGAGCAGTGTATTGTTTTCTAGGGAGATTTTCCCTATTTTCCACAAACTAGCTTTTTTTATGGCAGTTCTAACACATAAGTAGAAGTACTACAAAATGAAAATTATTAGCTTCATGTAAGGGAGATCAGTATTTTACTCACATCATCTTGGTAAACAAATAATTGAAAACCACTACGTGCAGTTGGCCACATTGCTCCAGGCTTAGGCTTTATTTCTTGCCACTATAGCACAAAATCACATTGTCATTAATAAAAATTCCCAAACAAAAAATCAACACTTCTACATAAAATGAAACAGCCTGATGTTTTGGTGCTGAACTTGAACAGTAAACAGCATTTTAACAGGACAAGCCAGGTATTTAGATATATTTACCTTGAATTGATCAAGGTCAAATACGAATAGATCATTGTAGTACCTGCATAATGAATTAAAACGTCTTAAAATCTGGCAAAAAGTGATATTTAGTGAATCAATACCAATGACAGGTCTCTCTTGGTAAAAAATCTAAAAAACTTTAAACAAAGAACAACAGACACAACATCTAAATTTTATAGGATCAATAACACACAATTGCAATATTTAGAAAGGCAGAAAACAGAAATTCGATAATAAGTTTCTGAACACTGAATCATCACCACATGTATATTGTAATTAAAACAAGGCACCGATTTCTTTTTCTTAAAATTCCATAAAATAAACTATTATGGATAAATTTAAGAGTAATACATGTGATTTCACAAAAACACCTTCATGTGATTATTCAATTACATTGTGTATGGTGAAACTCTTTATTATTTTATTCACAACGTTTTAGTCAGGACCAATTGCATTCCAAATAATACCCAGTGGGTTAACTAGGAGTAGCCCAAATAATACTTGAGATTTTTAGTCAGCAGTTGTTGTTGTCCAAATAATACTTGGGTTTTTAACCAAGAGTGGCGCAAGTTCATATAATACTTGGTTGTATCTTGGCAACATTAATTTGTCTAGTGGAACTTGATCTTTTAATTGAGAACTGGACATAGTCTTTATTTATGGGCGATCCAATATAAAAGCAAAGTGTAAATCCTTCTTTCTCTTGTCTCTTCAGATTGTATGTAATTTAATTGTAACTAATATCAAAAGGAGAGATTTGTAAAAACAAATTTTTGAAGTGTTTTTAAACAGTCCATCTGTCAAACAAGTTGTGCCTGACATTCCTCATCAAATGCAATCTCTTAAGAAAACCACTTGACAGTGCATTTGTCAAGTAAAACTATCATCTAACTCTATCATCATACAATACTTTGAGAAAATTTCAAAAAGCCTTAAAACACAATTCAACTCTCCCTTCTTTTAAAAGCTAAGTAAACAAGGCAAGAATAGTAAGTTAACACTCCAGTTTGACAACCGAGAGTGAGAAAAAGACTGAACCAGAAATTAAGCCCCAACTTAAGGAGAGAGGCCTACACAACCCAGCAACCTATTCTCTATGAATGACATTCTTCCCTTGTTTACTTAGCTTTTAAACATTTCCTCTAACAAAATCTCTAGAAAAATTATGACTTTCACCCTCCTTGTTTCAACTTGCTTCATGTGTGCAAGGGGGTTACAAGTTGAATTACCATCTTGAACCTCATTCACATCATGCTTAATGTATTTTCTTTTGTTATAATTATAGAAATAAAGAGTAGTTATTATATAATCAAGAATATGTGGATCATATATGTATTATTAGAAACATTTTTATTTATTCTTGTGTCACATCTATATTATTAGATGATATCAAATTCTCCTCTATTTACTGTATTGACTCCTTCATCTCAATATATATAAAACATTTGTATATTGTCTCATAAATACATTGTTTCAGCTCCATGTATCTCTCTTTCGTACAGTTTAACAACCTTAATGTTCAATCACCAGCTACCATACATAACCACTTCAAATATTACTCATGATAAGGTATGGAAAGAAAAGAAACTCACGAGTCCCCAAGTGTTGTACATCAATAGTCACACACATGCAAACAAGCTGGCAAGAGCAATTCTTTCCCTTAAAACAAAAATGATTTAACAAAGAGATTGATGTTGCCATGTTATATACATTTACAAGCAGAGAAAAATCAGAAGAAATCCTGTAACTTGAATTCATTAGAAGCTCAAATTCGGCTTCTCGGAGCTTCAATGCCCGTAGACTTAATTTATATTAGATTTCTGATAAGTGAAGGATAATTTATATTAGGACTCACTTTTCAAAACCAGAGCATTTTAATTCAACAATTACCCACAACAAGCTTTTCATTTGCTGCCAAGTTCTCTTATTTTTTCAATGAGAAAGAAAATCACATACATATAATTAACACAGTTCTGTACAATAGAAAAAGTAAGAAGCACTAGCAACCTCACTTCTCGGAGAGTGTCATAGAAACCACCGAAAAGAATAATCTTGTGCTTGTACAATATCTGTAAATTAACCAGATTAATTTGACACAAGGCATTGCAATAAACAAAATACATGATGAAACTGGATTAACATGTATGCCATATATGATATTGGGGGAGGGGGGATGCAATAATTAACTACTAAAATAAAGATTTATGACTATGATATCAAAAACAAGGTTCATAAACGTAGCAATAACAATATAATTCCACATGAGCACAAATAAGTTGGAGTGACATGTAATGCATTTCCTATAAGGCTTTTTTAAAGTGATAACAAAAAGATATTGGAAGACTTGTATTTTGTTTATGTATTTCATTAAATTGTTTGTAGGACTTAACTTAGACAGTTATAAAGCAGCATGCACAAAGATCACTTAAGAAAGATTTTATTTATCCAAAAACACTGTGATAATCGATTATCACTAATGATAATCGATCATCTAATTAAAATCAAGTTTTTTATAAGAGTTCCTTTGATAATAGATTATCACTACTGGTAATCGATTATCATAGCGAAAAAAAATATTTTCGGAAAAGTTTGTGATAATTGATTATCTCTTAAAATAATCGATTATCAATAGTAGTTGTGACTTGACTCTTCAGATTCTTGACCTAATTTTCAAATAAGAAGTTATATTTTTGGGGAGACCTATTTTGAAAACAACTTTTCATTCAGAGGTTCAGGGTTGTGACTACTAAAGAAACTCTCCTGCATCTGTGAGAAAGGGCTTTGAAAAACCTAGTGTGGGTAGAGCAATAACTTTCACCAAGTGGGTTCTTGTGTGATTTAGTGTTGTTGTTCTTAGGAGAAGCTATTCATCCTTTGGGTGACTCAAAGGAAGTGTTTCATTCCTTGTGCGATTCGAGGAAGGTGTTTTTATCTTGTGTCTTCAAGAGAGGTGTTCTCTAAACCTTAAACTTTTTCTTCTATGATTGTAAGTTTGATTTATTTTTAGTGTTTGAGCTCATCCCTCTTTAGAGAGATTATCGTGGGTCTTTTTATCCGAACCAATATTAAATATATGTGTACGAATTTTCTATTCCCTACAATCTTTATTTTAATGAAGTTATTCAAACAAGATAAAAGGTTTTAATTGAACATAAATTTTGAAGAAAACTTCAAAGTATCAATTTTAATCAAACAAACCAATTCATCCTCACTTGGTTTTTGTCCATAGTAAATATTTCATGCTACAATTCTAACCAAGGATACAAAGAATAGATCAGAAAAAACAATCAATAACAAAGATGTTTAATAGGCTCTTATCTACTACAGTTCAAGAATGAATGTTCTGAGCTTGGAAAATGCAATCTAGTAACAAGTGCAAACAATATGATGATCCAAAAAGGTCAGTTCACTGAAAAGACAAAATAAACATTCAATACCTATTTTGTCATCATTAAATGAGATCAGTCTAACAAGAATTCAGATGTGCAAGTAATCCAACCTTGCAATTGTTTAAAGAGAAAACAGCACAAAAGAAACTTATGTATTCTCAATCGCATAATCTTGCACAATTTATTGGGTTATTATTGTTACTTCAACAAGGATAGTAGTTAAATCAGCTTGAGCAACATGATAAAAAAATTGTTCCTTAATTAATTTCTGCCATGGCTGTACTGCACTCTAAAAATGGGAATACTATACTGAAATGAACCAAATCAAGCAATAATGCCGATCATTTAATTTTGATGTTCTAACAGAACTGTATACGTGTTAAGTTCACATAACTTGTAATTCTATTTTCGCATTTGCAATGCAATCCAGACAATAGTATGATGTAATTTAAGTTAAGCAGAATATCATGCATTGTCAGAAACAAACATACCAATAATCTGTTCGATTAAGGATTCAGTAATCTGACACCGTTAAAAGTAAATCAATGAGTGCATTATTTCACATCAGCCAGAGCATACCATTCGATGTCCTGAACGAGGACTAGGGCACCCTTTCAAATTAAGCTGCTCCCACTGATTTGTTTTCAGGTCCAACATCCAAAAATCCTAAACAAATCAAAATCCAAAAACATCACCACATAGTCAAAAATCCAACACACCAAAGCCACATTCACGCCACATAACAGAAGCAATGTAATGCAAGCTTAACCTTGTAGTGATGAAACCGCTCTTGGTTTGGAGACGTAAACTCACCACCTAAAGCACAAACAAAAATGAAACCTCCATAACCACACAAATTTTTTAGAGCAGCCAGCAAAGACAGGTAAATTCAATGACAAAGAACAACAAAATCTTATATTTTGTTTGGATAAACTATTCCAAAGGTACTTCTAGGAAAAGGAAAACAAATAATTATTTTCTTAAGCTGAAACTAACTAACGGACAAAACTATCTAAAGCTAAAACTAGCTTCTCTAACAGACCACTTTTTAATTTAACTTGTAAAAAAGTTATTTTATTTTTCCTTCTTAATTTATATTTCTCATGAAAAAAATTATCCAATCAAACTATAATTCCACTGAATGAGTCAGCTAAGTGAATCACATGAAACTATTCAACTCAGTTAAAAACTAAAGTAAAGTGAATTACCAAAAATATAAATATAATTCTTCCACGCAACCGCTTGGTGAGCACTGCGCGGAGGAGGACTATTAGGACTCGAAACCAATTTCCATTCCAGCTTCTCCACGTCATACCGGAAGAGATCACCGTACACGAAGGTCTGCACAAATTCACATTGCAGCAACAACTCACTCATAAATCATATCAATCACTCAACAAACAAGCACAATAGCTTTTGAATTCAAACTCGTAACCTTGTTGCCATTGTAGAATTCGCCGCCGTAGAGAATCAACTCGGTCTCTTTCAACGGATTGACGGTGAGCTACAAGAGAAGGCGTCAAAACGGAAATCGCAACGGTGAGAGGTGAAAGAGTGAGAAGTGGAGTTAGCGGCGTTACCGAGCAGTTGGAGCGAGGAGAAGGCGCGGGAACGTTGTCGTCGACGTGAACCTCCTTCTTCTTCGCTTCCTCCTTTTGAATGCTCAACTGCATCAATTCAAGAGACGCAAATATACACAAGTTTGTTTGAGGATTTGGTTTGAGAATGGAAAAGTGACGTGAATGGAAATAGAGAGAGTACCAAAATGGCGTCGATATCGTCCTCGGGAGAAAGCTTCTTGGTTTCCCTGCGAGCTTTCTTCTCTTCGGCTTTTACGGTTTTTCTCTCAGTTTTCTCTTTGCCTTTACCGGGTTTCTTCGTCTTCTTCCCCATCTTACTCAGAACGCACAGTGAAGTCTAAACCCCGCGGCGCAACAATGTGCCCTTCCTTAGACCCCGTGTAGCAAATAGTAATTCATATTTTGCATATACTTTTATAGATTAAGGCATTAAATTTTGGATTCATGTTTCTAATAGTTCAATTATAAATTATAAAACAATACTACAATTAAATAAAGTTACACTATAACATTGCAGTCACATCGTTAAGAGAAAAATTAGACGATAAACTCAATTTAAAAATATAAAATATTTAAATATTCTCTATCATAAAAAATTAATAAATACCCAATTAAAACTTTTTAAATCTATCATATACCTAAAACTTAATTAAGCATATTTCTTTTATAAGAACATGTTCTTCATAATATTTGATCTTTGAATTTTATTTTCTTTACTCGTTTGGTCCTCTGTCTCTATCTTATTTTATTCTTTTGAACTTACAAATAATAAGTTTATTTGGTTTATATTTTAGTGAATATTTATCTTCTATTTTTTATATTTAAATTAATTATTTCAATACTTAAATAATTAATATTACAGTGATAATAAAATAATATATTCCATTGAGGCATCTTGAGACTAGGCACCAAATTCAGGGTCAAGTTTAATTTACTTTCATATTCATCAAAATTCTCTACAACTCCTTCGAGATCATCATTCAAAGAGAAATGTTTGAAGGAAAGGCAGTATCAAAATATGCCGTAGCACATCTTCCAAACTTTAACAATCCACTGATGATGATTATAACTGTTCAAGTTTGAAAAAATATAGAACTGAACTCAACACTTATAACTTAGGTTCTGCTTGCTGACAAAAAAAATGTTTGAGAATAATGAGTTTAACATAATGAAAATAAATACAAAGGAAATTGCGAAGACATTAGTGTCGGCATTCTGCTCGCAAGTTTGAGAAAAAAGGACTGCGAACGGAATAATGTTATAATTCGTAAACATGACCATATACAAGATCGTCGAGGATAAACTCTTTAGCAATTCTTATTTTGAAAGTTAACACAAACAAATATACTCTGTTTTGAAATTTAACACAAGTAAATGTAACGTCCAAAATAAGTGTGTACTATCATTCGAAAACGTAAGATGATGTGTATGAAGTTATAAAAGTTAAAAATTATGTTTTGATAAAATGTTCATATAAGACAAGCAGTGTTAAACAATGTATATATATTATATTTAAAAGTAAAAACTTATGTTAAACGTTTTCTTAAAGTAAGAATATTAAATGCATATGACATACTCTACCGGTGTTACTTTGTTTTTTCTCTCTTTATCTTCGTTAATAATAGTGTATCCGCAAGGGCCGGACGCCGTACGGAAGGATCCATATGAGCGGACGCCCAAGCTAATTGGGCGGATCTCCATGCGGACGAGGCGGACGCCCATATCACATGGGCGGACACGACCAGCAAAATCGGACGCCGTACGGAAGAGCCCACATGGGCGGATCCCACATGGGCGGATCTCCGCGGACACGGCCAGCAAAACCGGACGCCGTACCGAAGAGCCCACATGGGCGGATCCCACATGGGCGGATCTCCGTGCGCGCGAGACAGACGCCCATTTCACATGGGCGGACGCCCACGCCCGCCAAAACACTAATCAACATGACTTGAGGAAAAGTNATCTTGTGTCTTCAAGAGAGGTGTTCTCTAAACCTTAAACTTTTTCTTCTATGATTGTAAGTTTGATTTATTTTTAGTGTTTGAGCTCATCCCTCTTTAGAGAGATTATCGTGGGTCTTTTTATCCGAACCAATATTAAATATATGTGTACGAATTTTCTATTCCCTACAATCTTTATTTTAATGAAGTTATTCAAACAAGATAAAAGGTTTTAATTGAACATAAATTTTGAAGAAAACTTCAAAGTATCAATTTTAATCAAACAAACCAATTCATCCTCACTTGGTTTTTGTCCATAGTAAATATTTCATGCTACAATTCTAACCAAGGATACAAAGAATAGATCAGAAAAAACAATCAATAACAAAGATGTTTAATAGGCTCTTATCTACTACAGTTCAAGAATGAATGTTCTGAGCTTGGAAAATGCAATCTAGTAACAAGTGCAAACAATATGATGATCCAAAAAGGTCAGTTCACTGAAAAGACAAAATAAACATTCAATACCTATTTTGTCATCATTAAATGAGATCAGTCTAACAAGAATTCAGATGTGCAAGTAATCCAACCTTGCAATTGTTTAAAGAGAAAACAGCACAAAAGAAACTTATGTATTCTCAATCGCATAATCTTGCACAATTTATTGGGTTATTATTGTTACTTCAACAAGGATAGTAGTTAAATCAGCTTGAGCAACATGATAAAAAAATTGTTCCTTAATTAATTTCTGCCATGGCTGTACTGCACTCTAAAAATGGGAATACTATACTGAAATGAACCAAATCAAGCAATAATGCCGATCATTTAATTTTGATGTTCTAAAAGAACTGTATACGTGTTAAGTTCACATAACTTGTAATTCTATTTTCGCATTTGCAATGCAATCCAGACAATAGTATGATGTAATTAAAGTTAAGCAGAATATCATGCATTGTCAGAAACAAACATACCAATAATCTGTTCGATTAAGGATTCAGTAATCTGACACCGTTAAAAGTAAATCAATGAGTGCATTATTTCACATCAGCCAGAGCATACCATTCGATGTCCTGAACGAGGACTAGGGCACCCTTTCAAATTAAGCTGCTCCCACTGATTTGTTTTCAGGTCCAACATCCAAAAATCCTAAACAAATCAAAATCCAAAAACATCACCAAATAGTCAAAAATCCAACACACCAAAGCCACATTCACGCCACATAACAGAAGCAATGTAATGCAAGCTTAACCTTGTAGTGATGAAACCGCTCTTGGTTTGGAGACGTAAACTCACCACCTAAAGCACAAACAAAAATGAAACCTCCATAACCACACAAATTTTTTAGAGCAGCCAGCAAAGACAGGTAAATTCAATGACAAAGAACAACAAAATCTTATATTTTGTTTGGATAAACTATTCCAAAGGTACTTCTAGGAAAAGGAAAACAAATAATTATTTTCATAAGCTGAAACTAACTAACGGACAAAACTATCTAAAGCTAAAACTAGCTTCTCTAACAGACCACTTTTTAATTTAACTTGTAAAAAAGTTATTTTATTTTTCCTTCTTAATTTATATTTCTCATGAAAAAAATTATCCAATCAAACTATAATTCCACTGAATGAGTCAGCTAAGTGAATCACATGAAACTATTCAACTCAGTTAAAAACTAAAGTAAAGTGAATTACCAAAAATATAAATATAATTCTTCCACGCAACCGCTTGGTGAGCACTGCGCGGAGGAGGACTATTAGGACTCGAAACCAATTTCCATTCCAGCTTCTCCACGTCATACCGGAAGAGATCACCGTACACGAAGGTCTGCACAAATTCACATTGCAGCAACAACTCACTCATAAATCATATCAATCACTCAACAAACAAGCACAATAGCTTTTGAATTCAAACTCGTAACCTTGTTGCCATTGTAGAATTCGCCGCCGTAGAGAATCAACTCGGTCTCTTTCAACGGATTGACGGTGAGCTACAAGAGAAGGCGTCAAAACGGAAATCGCAACGGTGAGAGGTGAAAGAGTGAGAAGTGGAGTTAGCGGCGTTACCGAGCAGTTGGAGCGAGGAGAAGGCGCGGGAACGTTGTCGTCGACGTGAACCTCCTTCTTCTTCGCTTCCTCCTTTTGAATGCTCAACTGCATCAATTCAAGAGACGCAAATATACACAAGTTTGTTTGAGGATTTGGTTTGAGAATGGAAAAGTGACGTGAATGGAAATAGAGAGAGTACCAAAATGGCGTCGATATCGTCCTCGGGAGAAAGCTTCTTGGTTTCCCTGCGAGCTTTCTTCTCTTCGGCTTTTACGGTTTTTCTCTCAGTTTTCTCTTTGCCTTTACCGGGTTTCTTCGTCTTCTTCCCCATCTTACTCAGAACGCACAGTGAAGTCTAAACCCCGCGGCGCAACAATGTGCCCTTCCTTAGACCCAGTGTAGCAAATAGTAATTCATATTTTGAATATACTTTTATAGATTAAGGCATTAAATTTTGGATTCATGTTTCTAATAGTTCAATTATAAATTATAAAACAATACTACAATTAAATAAAGTTACACTATAACATTGCAGTCACATCGTTAAGAGAAAAATTAGACGATAAACTCAATTTAAAAATATAAAATATTTAAATATTCTCTATCATAAAAAATTAATAAATACCCAATTAAAACTTTTTAAATCTATCATATACCTAAAACTTAATTAAGCATATTTCTTTTATAAGAACATGTTCTTCATAATATTTGATCTTTGAATTTTATTTTCTTTACTCGTTTGGTCCTCTGTCTCTATCTTATTTTATTCTTTTGAACTTACAAATAATAAGTTTATTTGGTTTATATTTTAGTGAATATTTATCTTCTATTTTTTATATTTAAATTAATTATTTCAATACTTAAATAATTAATATTATAGTGATAATAAAATAATATATTCCATTGAGGCATCTTGAGACTAGGCACCAAATTCAGGGTCAAGTTTAATTTACTTTCATATTCATCAAAATTCTCTACAACTCCTTCGAGATCATCATTCAAAGAGAAATGTTTGAAGGAAAGGCAGTATCAAAATATGCCGTAGCACATCTTCCAAACTTTAACAATCCACTGATGATGATTATAACTGTTCAAGTTTGAAAAAATATAGAACTGAACTCAACACTTATAACTTAGGTTCTGCTTGCTGACAAAAAAAATGTTTGAGAATAATGAGTTTAACATAATGAAAATAAATACAAAGGAAATTGCGAAGACATTAGTGTCGGCATTCTGCTCGCAAGTTTGAGAAAAAAGGACTGCGAACGGAATAATGTTATAATTCGTAAACATGACCATATACAAGATCGTCGAGGATAAACTCTTTAGCAATTCTTATTTTGAAAGTTAACACAAACAAATATACTCTGTTTTGAAATTTAACACAAGTAAATGTAACGTCCAAAATAAGTGT